CCCCCCACGCCCTCCCCCGCAGATCCCGCTGGCTGCAGCAGGGCCGTGTCCCTCCGAGCGCTGGCGGCGAGAGGGGAGGGACGAGCTGCGGCGTCTCCCGGGAAGGGATGCGTTTCTTCCGACTCGGATGCAACGCCTCAGGAAAAGCAGCAGGATGAAATGTGGGTGGCAGAGCCTGCCCGGCCTGCCTGGCTGCTGAGCTCGGCTCTGCCCTGCGGCTGGGTCCAGGGCTGGGACCAGTGGGTCCATGGAGGGCCTTGGTGACATTGGGCTAGATGAGTCCAGCGCAGAGCAGCGAAGACGACGAAGGAACTGGAGCATCTGTGGTGTGAGGACAGACTGAGTGAGCGGGGCCTGTTTAGCCCGGAGAAGACAAGACTGAGAGAGGATCTGATCAACACGTTCAAGTACCTGGAGGGAGAATGCAGGGAGGATGGGGCCCAACTCTTCTCTGTGCTGGCCAGTGACAGGACAAGGGGTAACGGGTACAAGCTGTGTTTGCTGGGGTGCTTTCAGGTGCTGGCGCTGGCAATTCCTGACCTCGTGAGCCGATGGGGAAGCCGGACAGGTCAAAGCCCCAGGAACTGCAGCTCCTTTCCACCCCCCCGGGCCTTGATCAAGGCCCATCTCCTCCCCACCTGGAACATCCCTGTTGGAATATTCTGGTTGTGCATTGAGGCCTTCGGCAAGGGTGGCATGGACGATTCCATGTGAGGAAGAACTTCTTTCCTGTGAGGGTGTCAGAGCCCTGGCACAGGCTGCCCAGAGAGGTTGTGGAGTCTCCTTCTCTGGAGATCATCAAAACCCTCCTGGATGCCACCCTGTGCTCTGTGCTCTGGGTGTCCCTGCTGGAGCAGGGGGTTGGACTAGATGATCCCTAGAGGTCCCTTCCAACCTCAGCCACTCTGTGATTCCGTGATGAGAGGCAGAAAGCAGAGTGGTCCCAAGGGTCCAAGAGCTTTGGGTGCAACACGTTGTTGGGGTTAAAGGTCTGAGCCTTGTGCACCTTGGGAGGAAGCAGAGGGAACAGCAGGGAGCCTGGGAAAAGCTTCTGGATGTAGACACACACACCAGGACAATCTCTGCAGAAAAGTTCTTCATTTTTATGGGCAAAATAAGCAGTAGGGGACAGCAATGAGTGACCACAGGCTCAGCTGGGTGTCTGTGGTCTCTCCCCCCAGAACTCCCCAGAGGGGAGGTTGAATTGCTGGCAGAGGCAAACGCTACGGCTGGTACAGAGGAGCGCCAGCCCCAGCAGCAAGGGCCTCCACAGCACCAGAAACGGGCAGCGCCAAAGGCCGCTCTGATTCTTTGGGCATTTCTGGTTAGATTGCAGTAAAATTGAAGGGGGGGACAGAAAAAAAGGCAATTTTGCCTTAATCAACTATATAACAAAGCCTGAACATGGTGCCGAGCAGAAGGTGTCGGAAGATAAGAAATTGTCGGCCTTGCTGGAGCTGAAAGATAAGATTGTGCTCCCCAGAGCGAGGCTGAAAGAGGATAAATTATCCGGAGGGACAATTCCAAGAGAAAATAATGTGCAATTAAAGTTGTCTGAATTACTCTTTTAGGGAAGCATGGGGAGGGGGAAAGTCTGAAGTCTCCTTCCTGGCTGATCTTAGAAAGCAGAGAGTTTCTAAAAAACCTTTATCACCAAAAAAAAAAAAAAAAAAAAAAAAGGGATAAACTGGCCAGGAAGAGGAAACTAAGGAAGAGGAAAGGATGTGCTAGGAGGGGAAAAGGGAGGTGGTGCCGAGATCCTGCGCCTGCTCCAGGCTGTTGGACCTGACATGGCTCAATGGAGAAAATCCCAAAGGAAATGGGAGAGACAGGAGTTTGTTTGTTTGTTTGTTTTTTAAAAAAAGGCAGCCTCCAGGGATGCTTCTCCTTCCAGATGGAAAAGCCTGGAGCAACTCGGCCCTCCCAGCCAAAGCTGCGCAGGAGGGAGCAAGAGGCACATCCCTGCCAGGGAAAGCTGAGGGGCTGCTCCAAAGTGTGGGAGGAGGGCCGGGAATCTCACGGGAGCGCATTCCAGGTGGGAAGATCTCCGAAAACGCTCTGGATTCCTGACGCCATCTCACCAGCCACCTGCCGCGGGGA